GAATAGCCCCGGGGGGGTGTCCCGAGTAGCCCTGCCATGCAGAAATGGCCGCCATTTTTTTTTGGGATTGAGATATGTAAATTCCTCAAATAAAGTTTTCATGCTGACACTTGTCTGCCACTTTTTTCTAAGCAAAGTTTTTTAATACGGCAAATATTTTTTTTACTACAGACCTTAGCAGAAGTAACTTTTCCAAATATAGTTTTTTGCCATTTTTTTCAAGAATTTTCCAAAGCTAGTAAATGTAGTATTTTTGAACTTCCTTTATACTACATAGATAGGAAAAATGTTGCCATTTACGCCACTATATTTAGTTTTGCAATATTCCAATTAGTTTTGCTACTAAAACAGTTTTACGCCGCGTCGGCGGACTGTCCTGAGTTACCCCGCCCGTCCCAAGTAGCCCCAGTTGGCGGTAGTGGTATTCTGTGGTAAATTAGAAATTTTTTTAGAATCAGTTCAATTTTAATTTCCCACCTACACAAGATATAAACCAATAACTCTTGTATAAGTTTTATAACTATTCTGATATCCATGAGATTCTACTGGTGAGTGGTGACCTGGCCTACTGACGTCTGACTCTACAAACTACTCTACTCACAGGCCTCACAAATGAACTTGAGGAGGAGGCAACATCGCAACAACACCTCTAGGAGCTGCGGAGCAGAGACTGCAGAGTCAAGATGCAAATAAAAAACTAGAGCTAAGTGCCGTGGTAAGTGCTTTACAGCCTTTTTCAAATCTGCAAGACAGCAAGATTCTTGCCACATCACCCACATGAATAGGCTAATCTCTTATTAGTTATGTCTATCTAATTGGTAGTAAAGCTGCTGTTGTGTGTTGTGCCACTGCCACAAGATTTCAAATGTATAAAAAATTTCTCACTTAGGTCTTACGTCTTAGGAGCTGCAAAATTTTATTTATAAATTTTATAGTAAGTAGTAAAATTCCAAATCTGGACTATAGACTTCAAAAACTTGTTGTTGATAGGTCAGACCATCAGACTGTATTCAGACATAAACTTGGTAAAGCCTGGAGTTATAACAAAACCAACAGGTTTCACCATGGACATTATTTGTATTACAGAAACACTCCCTAAATATCACGGGGGGAAAATTGTACATGTTGAATTTCAGTTGCCAGGTTTTGATTGTTTTCATAACTTAACTGAAGAGCAGTGCAGTAGGTACCCTCTAATCTGGGTCCTAATGGTAGAAGTTTTCCATGCTTGAACTGAACCAAGCGCTTGAATAGCGATGGGCCACAAACGTGTTGGATTCATCTACCATTGATTGGTTGATAACTTAATATAATCTCAATGAAAATTGAGCATCAAAATTAAATCACTTATCACATAATTACATGTTATGGCAAATTAAATGGGTATTGGTAGAAATACTATAATCCCATCAGGCATGGAATATATCTACTTGGCAAGCTGCGACTGAATTTTTCGAGACATGGTTTTATGTATTCGTCAGCAGTGATTCCATTTCTTCAAGGGAAAACAGTAACAAGTGGTTGTTTAATCAAATAATGTGTTTCTAGATGGATAATATTGAATATCAGATTTGTACTTTTATTAAAAACCTTGTAACATAAGAATAACCAGTTGGTCCTGTCTTAACCCATGCCTGGTCCCATCTTAGTGATCTTACCCCAATGGGGTAAGATGGGACCAGCTCACTTTTTTTAATCTGTACAGAAAACTATGTTAGATGCAAAATGTCAGAGTTGTAGCTTAGAAGCCTATTGCATAGATACACCTTGTGATAGGTTTAGGATTTTTTAATTATTCATGGTATAGATGCTATGGGCTTGTTAGTGATTTCGGTCCTGTCTTACCCCATCTGACTATACCTATTTCTTTTGATTTACACACAAAATTATTTCAATTTTTTTCACTCAGCTATAATTTCTTTCCCAAGTCATTTCAAAACATTATTTTATTGGAGGCCACCCACCTGATTTAGCTCATAAATATGCTAAATGCAGGAGCATAAACTATATTTCGCATCAATAATACGGTAATTAGTGTACCTATATGGTAATATCATATCAATAAAGGAAAAATAAGTAAAAATCACAGAAAATGTCATTTATTCTACCTCTACATCATCTACAATGAAAGAGGAGGACTTCAGAGTACTGTTAGTAATGGATGAGTACACTCTGCATGCTTCAAATGTTTTAAAATGAAGTTTTATTCCAAGTGTTCCGAGTAGCCTCGTTCGACTGGGCTACTTGGGACACTCTTTTTTTGCTTCTGGCACCTTACAAATAGCATATATATATATGGAATTTTTTTGTAGAAGCCATGTGATAGCCCTTGCAAAGAGCTTTGAAATGAGCCTAACTTGTTTATGAAATGTTTCATGGTAAGAAGTTATGAGTGAAAAACGTTCAAAATCATCCTGAGTATCCCCGGTTGACGGTATCATAGATGTTTACTATGCACTGGCTGCCTGGCAGCCGTGCCCAGTCTATAGTGGAAAAAAACTAAAAAAGGTTAATTAGAGCAAATGTCTAATGATGACTAGACTATTGCCGTATTGGCAGGAAGATGTGCCAAGTGCCAACTGCCAGGTGCTTGGGATTTATTGGGAATTTGTTTTAATTTTTTAATCTGATCTGCACAGTGCTTGGTAATATGTTATAAAAAGCCCTGCAGGCGCAGGCTGGGAAAATTTTTTTTTCTGAAATATTGCGGCTCCAATATCATATAATTACAGTAGGTATGAAATCTCACAGCTTTTATGTCACATATTTTTGTTTGATTGAATAAATCGCAGTTTGCCCCTTACAAAAATGTTGTTTCATAAAATTTTCAACTTCCACAATTCACATTACTTCAAAACTCCAAAACAAAACTTCACTTACTTCACCAAAATATACTGCAGAAGCCAGAATATAATTTTGTAGAATATAAATTAATTAATAACTGTGTATAGTTCAATGTTTGCTGCTGCCAACAGCCTGGTATTGAATATATCTCTTGTTCAAGCTGTGACTGAGCTCTCCTGCCATTTTCTTAACTGCAAGATTCCTGCTAGATGAATTATCTCCTATTTAATTGTTAATGAAACTGCATGATCAAGCAGCTAGATTCCAAATGTATCAAATTTAGTCATTTTTGAGCCCCAATATTTCATTCATAAGCAAGAAAAGGCTATGCCAGCAGCTGCAGCTATGTGTTGGCAGGATCATATCTCCTCAGAAGGCTGCCATGGTTCAAAACTTGTAGCCTAAATATTAATTAATTAATAACTATAGTTTGATGCCTTCTACTGTCTGCAGCTGCAGTTATGCAACGATGGGATTTACAAACCCAGGATGGTGTGGTTTTTCATTGATTAAACTGTTGTACACAAGGCTCTGAGCCTCTGCACTGGCATTCTGGCAAACGCCCTCACAAACATGAAGCTAAAATGATGGAATTGCTGGATACACCCAGTATACATCCACCTCTGGTGTGAAGTAGCCTGCTGCTACTACTGAAAAACCTTGATTCTGCTCTACCATACTGGTATCTGCTTCTAAATATGTTGATTCACATTGGACTCCTTCATGTGTGGATTTGAGTCTTTGAATTGATTTCCCAGCTTTGTCTTTCTAAAAATTTCAATGCACAAATTTTGTTGTTAATGGTCTCATTGTTGCATTCACATTACCTACCTCCTGGCAAATCTTTTGTGTACAAAATATTTTTGTTAATTGTTGCATTCACATTACCTGCCTCCTGGTAAATCTTTTGCATACAAAATGTTTGTTAATGATCTTGTATATGCAGTCATATCAGATAGCCTGCCAACATTATCCAAACTATGAGATTGAAATGAAACTGCTAAGTAATTTGCTGGTATTTCTAAGGTTGTATTAGAGATATAATGCAATACCGTCAACTGGGGTGACTTTGGCCATGTTTTTGATTTTGTTTTGCAAACAAAAGCGAGGTCATAAAAACGATGGCCAAAGTCACTCTGGCGTTTATGACCTCATTTACGACCCTGGCGTTTATGACCCCGGTGTTTACGACCCCGTTTTTGTTTGCAAAACAAAATCAAAAACGCTGCTGAAGTAAGTCACCCCGGCGGCCGAAGTAAGTCACCCCGGTGTCCGAAGTTACCCCAGTTGACGGTACTCATTGTATACATTTTAAATATCAACTTCAATGGATTAGGAAATGGGTTCCTTGCTCAAAAATGGAACTCATAACTGCAAATTTGATAGATTTTTGCTTCAAAAATACAGTTGTGGTTTAGAGAGTAAATCTTTTCTATACTGGCTTCTTACTGCTAGTAGGAACTGCTACTTACTGCTAGTAAGAACTGCTACTTACTGCTAATAAGAACTGCTACTTACTGCTAGTAAGAACTGCTACTTACTGCTAGTAAGAACTGCTTCTTACTGCTAGTAAGAACTGCTACTTACTGCTAGTAAGAACTGCTACTTACTGCTAGTAAGAACTGCTACTTACTGCTAGTAAGAACTGCTACTTACTGCTAGTAAGAACTGCTACTTACTGCTAGTAAGAACTGCTACTTACTGCTAGTAAGCTGTTTTGAGAAAATGGGAAAATCTGTGTTGCTCCTTTTGTAACCTTAAAGCCTTGATAAAATCTTGGTTGAAAAAAGTCAAGATTTTGCATGGAATACCTATAAATAAACCTACTGGAAATTTTGATATTTTCACAATGTTTCCTTATTTCATGTTGCAAATTGGCATTGACAGAACAATCATAATAAATCATTAATGATACTTTTTACTCAACAACTGTCCTTATTTGATTTTCAAAATTTGTACAGTGTTATTTCTTATCAAGTTATATTATTTCATGTATTAGTTGTTATCATAAGGCATACCTAGGTATGATTTGGGATGACTTATATGCATTTTGTATTAAATTTACCAAGCTTAAATTTTTCTGTTTTTCTTCTTTTCTTTTTTCTTTCTTTTTTTTTCTTTTTTTGTTTCTTTTTCTGTTTTTTTTTCATGGGCCATAAGTACATCAAATGGTAATTTAGGTACACAAATTGCATAAGTACGACCAGAAAAAAATACACAATCGAGATCAATGAGAGCTCTATTTGCCATCATCTTGCTTCCATCGGCAAACTTAAGACACACAGATTCATTTTTCAGAATCGATCTCGGATCAATCAAATCAGACCTCACTAGAACTGCTGTTGATCCCGTATCCCTCAAAACTTTAACATCTCGGCCATTGCAAGTTCCCAGAACAAGTGGCAGATTACCACTGTAATTTACACTATTGTTCATAGCAAAATTGACATTCACAGTTGGATCTTTCTTCTTCTGATCTGAAGACGATCCCCCCTGTTTCGACCAACAGTTCTTAGCAAAATGTCCCGGTCCTCCACATTTTTCTCAACAGTTAAAGATAGGTAGGTGCTCATTTTAATTATTATATTTGTTTACCTTATGATGCATGTTATACTTTGAAATGTATTTACAGCTATTTGGTTTGTAACCATTGCAATGAGAGTAATGTTATTGGTTTAAACTCTGACTTGATGCATCATAGCTAGCAAATTTGCAATAGTTTCCTAGAGTTTTCCTTAATGTTCACCCTAGGTTTTACCTTACTCATGTCTAATAAATTATTGTTGTAGCTCCTCTTCAGCTCAAAATTCATCAAGTTGGAGACTGATGCTCTGTTTCTTATTCCAGGTTTGCATTTTTGTTCAACAATGAAATCCTGAGCGACGTTCAGTTTGTTGTGGGTCGTGGGGAGGAGGAGCAAGTGATCCCAGCACACAAGCTTGTTCTGGCAGTTGGTGAGTTATTCCCTGTATATATAATGGATGTATTTGTTACATCCAATCAAATGTTTATTAATGTAATCCACTGTAATGTAATCTTACATCCATAATATGTTAATCTTAATGGATGTAATTTATTATTACATCATGTTTAGTAATGTGGTGGAAGGCCTCTTCTGAAGGATGGAGAGATTTGAAAAAAATTGAATTGAAATATAGTGCTTGTGATGTTTTTCATAATGGGTTCAAAACCTTTTTTCATAATGCAAAATGTCTGAAATGTCTGAAGTTATTTTTCTTTTGCCATTGATTATTAATCTGCTTGTCCAATATATGATCCACTTTATAAAGAGTGGTCAACAAGGTGAATTTGTCTAAAATTTGATGCCATCTTCAACTAATGCAATTGAACTGTGTTGTAAAGGCGGTGCAGTGTTTGACGCCATGTTCAATGGATGTAATTTAACTGTGTTGTACAGGCAGTGCAGTGTTTGACGCCATGTTCAATGGATGTAATTTAACTGTGTTGTACAGGCAGTGCAGTGTTTGACGTCATGTTCAATGGATGTAATTTA